TGGCAGCTGGAGTGATCAGGGCCTTGGGGAATGCTGAAGAGTATGGAGAGGAATGAGGATTACAAGGGAAGGATTAGAACACTAGATGGGGTCAAATGGTCACTAAATTTGACAGGGTTGAGAAACATGAGGGAATTTACTTTAGGGTTCCAACACTGCAACTACACTGAGATATTTACTCAGTGAGGCTACTGATTATTGCCTTGTACTTTCCTGTATTTTCATGTCTTCTCATCTTGGAGACCAAATGATTTTTATTAAAAAGCCAGCACATTTGATTCCAGGCTAAATGCTAAGAAGGCACAGGTTATCTGGTCACTAGATTTGTTACAATGCTTGCCAGGCCCCAAGCATTTGAGCTTGACTCGTTTTCTAGATAAGCTCTATCCCTGGATCAAGTCAGAACATCAGAAAGCTAGTTACATTGGCCTCACTGTTTCAATCCCTAGACAAACTTCTGTGACAAGATATAACAAGCTTGTTTGATTTACTTATGAAATGGTGAGGTTAAACTACACATGGTGATAGATTCCTATAATCCTACCTACTTGAGAGGCAGAGGCATGGGGATTGTGAATTCCAGGCCTGCCCAGGCAAAGCTATGAGACTATCTCAAAAACAAAATACAAACAAAAGGACTAAGTGTGTGGCTCAGGTGGTAGAGTGCCGTAAATTCCTGGGTTTGATCATCAGTACCACACACACAAAAAAAAAATGTGGACTTAAGATCCCTCTTGCTGTAGTCTGGATAATGGACTGGATTACACAGAAGCAAGAAAAGGAGTGGGGAAAATATGAGAGTACTAACTTGGACTAGGCTGGTCATTGTCAAGACAGAAAATTGAATGGTTTCAGTAAGCTTTGGGGATGAGTGGCTTGCTGAGGAACTGAATGGGCATGAGAATGTACTTCCAGAAAGTCTACCAATTAGAAATTCATTGGGTTTGCAAACTTTTATAAAAATGCAAATATATTTAAGAGGCTTATGACTACAGTAAGGGTGTAATTTAGTCTGAATTAGTTCCATCAGCTTACGTTCTGCTATCACCTTGCTGAAGTCAGTCATACTAAAGAGATGAGAGAGTTTTACTTGGGGAAATATGTTTTGCATAAGGAATAAAATCATGTGTGGCATGGAAGGTGAGAGTTGGGGAATTAGAGAAGCATCAAGAAGCCAAAGAAAACACAGATGGGGGGTGTCAGGATTTGACAATACTTAGAACCAGCGAACTTTAACCTTATAATATTAATTACAATATAATATCTCACTTAAGTATTGTATAATGTAATTTAAAATTATGTAGATATTATATAAAGCATAACTATATGAAAATTACAATCATAACCTTATAATTTACATAATTTTATTATATAAATATATGAATGGTATAATTATATTATGTTATGATTTATATAAATTAAAATGTAACTATAATATTAATATAATATTTTACTTATAACATTAAAACCAATCAATAGTTCCACCTCAGATAAGTTACTTATTATTGGTCAATATTAAAAAATAACTTTCATTTTGTTATTTCAATGATACATTATATATTTGGAAGTAAAAGGGCATATCTAGAATTTTTTAAAACCCTACCTTGTTTAACAAAATGTGTTAAGTTTTACCTATTATATTCCTTTTTCTTTATGAACTGGCATGTAACTTAAAAAATGAGGACATAGATCCTAACATGTCCAAAATGTTATCTTTGAGTACAAATCTTAGTATATTTCAAACTTCTCATGAAAGCCAGTGCTCAAAACTAAGATAAGACTACTGGAAAGAATGAGTTATGACCAAAAATTTGGCACACTCCTAACCAGGATTTCTTGGATGATGATATTGCACTAAAAAGAACAAAAACAACTCACAACCTAAGTAAAATAGTTCTCTCATGTTTTGTTTTATACTTGTAGTTCAAATATGGGAAAGCATTCTTTTTATCAAGAAAACAAAACTTCATAAAAAAACAAACAAAAATCATGAGCAACAAGTTTGAGCCAACTACATATTATAAAACATTTTTCCAAAAGGCAAAGTATTAAATAGCAAGTTAAAAATAAATCTTTGTGATAGCCAATAAAATTTCCATGGATGTGTGCCCTTTCATGTGAGTCACAGTCTAAGGTCAGGTACACTCTGGCGATGGAAGGAACATACTATCATCCTTACACTGCCTCTAATCACTGCTCTGCTGCTGGACAAATCTGTCCTGGCTCTTTTGCGTGGGTCTCAAACACATTCACCAGTATGATCATCCCTTTTTTCTTAGCATCCTTGTCTCTACTAGCTTGCAAAGACACAGTCTGGGACAACAAGTCCCCTAGAGAAAAAGCACATTGGAATTACAGGATCTCAGCATTATTGACCATGGGCAACCTCAGTATTTTTATAGATGAGCAAACTGAAATACAACTAATTTTTACATCTTGTTCAGAATTAACACTGGTTATGATTCAGAGGTAGACCTTCTGGTATTCTCTGAAACTGCTAGAGACATTTTTCCATACATCTTTCATATTTCTACACATTTTGTAAACATTGGCACTGACAGCTTTTGTTCTGAATGATCTTTTCAAAGATATTTACATTGTAGAAAGCCTTGATAGAAGGAGATGATATCTCATTCCAGAGCAGAGGGAAACTTTGATTTTTGTCCAATATAATAAAAATAATGTCTCCCTCTAGGACAATGGATAGGTATACTCACTGAACATTATAAGTGATTCAAACTCTCTAAGTTTGTGGTTCCTCTCATAACATGCAAACCACTGAGTACATAAGTGTCACCTAGCCAGGACAGGTAAACCAGGCTCAGTAAGCCTGCACAAATGCTAATAGTTTGCCTAATTCTTTGCAGTAAATACAAACATCATTTGTCCCTGACCCAGATATCTCATGCCTCTGACAAGACTCACAAAACTTTAACAAGTGACTTGAGAACTTGGAAGTAGGCTAAAATCTCAGACTCCTTGCAGTTTTCAACAGAAACATAAAACCTTAGAGACAATCAATCATGCAAGGAGAGAAAATATTGTCAGGCTTGCTGGATTTTTCAACTCTAGGTTGATCCGGTTACCATTTATTGAGCATTATATGTTAGGTAAAGTATAGTAGATATGCTTTATTCTTCAAATCAAGTTATATACAAGTATATATACATACATGCGGAATCTACTTGATTTTTTAAGACTGAGCCAATGAGCTGGATATTATTATTCCTACTTTATCAATTAAAAAACAAAACAAAAAACCAACAACCACTTGAAGTTAAGTCACACAGTTAATGGGTGGCAGACACAAAAATCTCAAAAATCTCTAGTTTTAAATTTGTGTTTAGTCAACCTTCAAACAAAACATAGCTTAAACTAGTATAATCCACTTTGGTTTTAAATTAAATGCCTAGATTATGTAGTATTATGTTAAGTTTTACTTTCTTACCTTTATGTTTGTTTGAGTTTTTTTTTTTTTTTCGCTTTATTCAAACAGAATCTCACGATGTAGCCCAAGCTGGCCTCAAACTTATGAGTGCTGGGTTTTCAGGCATATGCTGCCACACCTGGCTTTATTTACTTTTTTTTTAAGTATTTTGAACAATACCTTATGCTAAGATAGTGGCAGTTTATTGCCTAATACTTACTCAATATTAAATATTCAGCATTCACAATAAGAAAATTTTGTGCAAATTCTTAGTTCATTTATAGTAATAATCTATAGCAAAAGCTATGGTTTATAAAATGTAGATTAGAAAATAATGGTGTAGACACATTATTTTGAAGCTATACATCTAGGAAAATTATCTTCAGCTAGAGAAAGATAACATGATAGAACAAATAGTTCCATTTAAAAGGCTGCATATTTCATGAAACTACCCTGCTAGTCACAGAGATAAAGAGAACACATGAGACAGAGTGAGAAAAGGGCTACGTATGTCTAGTATTTATAGATGTTCTTGATTATAAAAATGTTTAAAGCTAAAGAGAGAAGAAATTACTTCTTAATTTTATGGAAGCAAAATATAAAATGTAAGCTTATATAAGACTTGCTTAGGGAATTTTTTAAAAACTGATAATCTATTTCAAACCATAAACAGAATTTCAATCCTATGATTCCATTCTGCTGACTAGAGTGCTAAAAAAATTTAATCTTCTGAATCAACCATTCTTAAATATAAACAGCAACAAAAATCTGTAAGCTCTATTCAAAATGCAAGCAATGTTTTAGATTATCTTAACTTTAGACTCACTGGATATTTATTAACATTGTATTAGTAGAAATAATTATTTTACTTACTTTGCACAAAATATTACTTTTTTTGGTATTACTGGTGTTTGAATTCTGGGCCTCATACTTGCTAGGCAGATACTCTGTCACTTAGCCACTCTGCTAGCCTTGCTTTTGTGTTGGGTATTTTTAAGATAGGGTTTCTCAAACTATCTGCCTTGGCTGGCTTCAAACCAAGATCCTCCTGATCTCTGCCTCCTGAGTAGGTAGGATTACAGCCATAAGCAATTAGCACCCAGCAAAACATTACTTTTTTTTTTATAAAATAAAAAAGATATGTAGTTAGAGTTTACAAAAATATTGGATTATATAGTTAGCTATAATTATCATATAAATCAATAATTATAGAACCAAATATATTTAGTATGTATTTTAGAAATGTATCCTAAATTGAATGTAAAATTACTGATTCATTTGTCTTTTAATTCCTGGTAAATGATAGTAGAAGACTGTAGTCTTCAGAGAGGGGCATTAAACAGAGGCTATGTTTGGTTTGGAGGCAGAAACTCCACAGAAAAGCTGATGGGTTAAGATGTGTCATGTTTTCTGATTCCACTAGGACAAAAACTAATTGAAAAGAAAAAGAATTAAGGCTATGCAGATCCTTTGGTAAACAAAGGAGTCACCCTAAGACCTCCTTAGTTGGTGTCTTTTAAAGAAACCTACAAATGTCACATACTTATGCATAAGGAAGCAAACTGAAGGCTACCTGGAAATCTTCTGATTATTTGACATAATCCTTCCTTTCTGCAAAGCTGATGGTGTATTTCTGGTAATATGTTGATCTGAAAGGAATGAGAAAGAGTCTAGTGAGTTAGACATTCATAAATGAAGGAGCAAAGGAAACACAAACCTGAGTGTAAGTGTGAAGCATTGTCTTCACCATTCACACCCAACTTTCAAACCTCTACAAGCCAACATTCAAATCCAGAAGAATGACATGGCTTACTTGATAACACAAGATAAAAATTTGCCCTTGAAAGCTTCAAAATATTTTTGAAAACCTTTTAATATTTCAAAGCAATGATATTTGCTAAACATAAAAAGAAATACTTGAGGCAAATATAGTAATACAAATAACTTCATAGTTATAAGTTATCTGCATTGCAAAAAATAGTACATAAGTATACCTCAAAGTCAATTAAGTTCCAAAGTTCCACAGCGATCTGTGATTTGCATTTACACAGCGATTCTGTGGTGATTCAGTATTACACCTGTTTCAAAACTTTATATGGAGTCTTCTCTTTATACTGAGGGGCATATTGCTTCTAAATATAAAAGCCAGTTACCACAAAACTATTTTAACCGAAATTTGTTATTAGAAGAAAAACCATAAGTGTTGTCATAAATTCAAATATAGGTTTGTTTTTTTTTTTTAGCTTAAAGTAGAGAAATGATACAAATGAGCTGAATTCTCTCCTTGTTAATTTACAGTTTGGTCAATTGGTGTCATCAACTAAATCCTCAAACTAAAACCAAATATGGAAAAACCCTGCTGAAGCCACAGAAAGAGATCTATATAAATTAGCTTGAAAATCAGGTTCATTTTTGGGACATTTTTGATTACTTTCAAATTAATTCACTCTAGCCTAATAAATGTTATAGTTTCTATCCTATGTCTTGTTGCTATGGCTAGATAAAAAGAACTCATCCATGTTGGAGAAAAAAGGCAACATGACTGACTCATAGTCACAATTCGGCACCTGATAGAATCATAACCTTGAGCACATTTTCCTTCTTTTTCTCAATTTCTTCATTTATAAAATAAAGTATGTAGAGCCTTTGGTCTCTAAATTCTACTTCTGCTCTAAGATTTTATCAATTCTATAATAGATTGCAGTTTTTAAAACATGATTCATATGAAATGCTTTGGAATAGTGCATTGGTTAAATCTTCTCCAACATCTGCAATCTCATTAACCCTATTCACTTACTCAGCAAACTTTCTTTTCCCCAAGAATAGCTAGAGGAAGAGCAAACTTCAGCCCAGGTCTATAAGCAGAATCCACACTTCTGCTTCTGCGCTAACAGCATCCCTGAGTGCTATATATTTTGTCAAGTCTACAAAGATACAAAAGTCTAAATCACTTACATTCTTCTGCACTGGGAATTGACAGAACTCTGTCAGTTTCACACAATTTCAGTTGGAGGGTTTTCCACATTTCTCAAATTCTAACAGGTACTAAACATAGGAAAATAAGGATTTGTATGAAGCTCTGACTCTTCAGTTCAGAATTCTTAAGAAAAGGCAGAGTAGGGAGAAAGTACAGAGAACCCACATTACAGGTGACTTTGGTTTTCTTAACACAAAAAGTATCTTTTCAAACTGGACTGTGAAAAGCTTCAAAAGTCAATAAATTGGCCATTTTCTCCACCTAAGGCAATAATTACTCTGCTGCTAGTGACTTAATAGAATCTTTATTAGAATGATTCCAGAAAGAGAACCAGCACTAGATAAGCAGCATTAAAGGATTTGGACAGGCTTGGGTCCATTTCTAATCATCTCTAAGGGTTCAAAGTAAATGTGCTGCCATTGGTTTTAGCACACACGGGTTATGCTGTCCTCTTCTGCACAAGCTGAAGGGAGTACAAGACACATGGTGCAGTGGATGACACTAACTAAACAAATGGGCCAGAAGAATTTGTGTAGATACTACTGATCAGGCAGACCATGGCTTGCACAACATTCGGAGAGAGGTAGGTCTTTACATCATTTCAGAAGACTTTTCAGGTGAGGTGTGGATTCAGAAAGATGAAGTGAGTCTCGAGGTCAACAAAGAACATGCTTCAGAAAATCGGTGCCAAGTCAAGAGAAGCAGCTCTTCTCTTCTTCTACCTTCTATTTTCCAGTTCCTCACCTGATGACTCCTCCCCTTGCTCTTTAGAATTCACAGATTTGCAAATGATAGAAATGTGGTGACATATCACACCAGAAATATCATCTCTATACATCTCTGGAACCACAGTTAAACTGAGCAACTCAGCACAATGAGTTGAAAAGGTTGACTCAAGGGTCATGGATTGCATAGATATTACAAATTGACTATATTACACATTGGATTGTTAAGCCTAGTGATGCTATATTATAGTGCCTTAAGTTTTTATGTATATTAAAAATATATATAATATTTTCATCACCATCAAGTAAAACACCATAAAAGGAATTTTAATCTGGATTACTGAATTTTTATGTGATGAGTTTCTCTAGCTTAACCTTGCAGCAATGATTTTTAATAGTCTTTATTTTTAGTGGTACTTTTACATTTATGTCAAATTGAGTAGAAGATATATAGATTTCTTATATATCACTGCCCCCACATGTGCACACCCTCCTAATATTAGTGTTGCTCAGTGGAATGGTATATTTGCTACACTGAATGAACCTATATTGATATGATTATCAGTCAAGTAATCATTTTTAATAAATACCAATCTTGTGTTAGGTTTGAATGTTTATATATATGTATATGTGTGTTTATATGTAGACTGCTTGGTATAATACTCTTCTGAACAGAGTGAAAGGCACATATGAAATGATGAATGACATTCATGCCCTGAGATATTTCTAAGAGATCAAAGTGGGAGAAAGGGAGTAAGCATTTAAAAGAATTTCCATCTCAACACACCTTCCACAAACTTACTTGGTGATAATCTACTCCTAAATTGTTTCTATTACAAATTGTCAGAAACAAAAGCACATTCTTCTTTTGAGATACATTTCAGTAACAAAAGCAAAAATACAATGTTAATCATTTTGGAAAGTGTTTATGAATAAAAATGCTAAAACCATGGTAATATCATTAACTCATTAAGGAAAGTAGACATTTGAGTTTGAGCTATGAAATATAAGAAAGTACTTAGGAGAAATTTTTTTGACCCCTCAAACATCAAGAGGGACCCACACATCACACTGTATCTTAGGGAACTGTTCTTTTCCCTCACTGTATCAGTAGAAATATTCATGCCTCTTATTTTATCAAAAATCAGACCTCTAAAAGCTGTTCAGTGTCATCAATGAGGCAAGGAATGACAAGAAACTAGGAGAACCAGCTAATCGATGAAAGAAAATTCTTTGCCCCATCTTTCATACACAGTTATCTTGCTATTAAATTCACCTTAAAATGCCCTGGCATGCTTTACAATAGCCATTTCATAGTTCTCAGTGTTCCAAGTAATAAAAACAGATTAGGGACTGCTAATCCTACAAATATGTAAAGCTACAAATGAATCCCTCTGCTTTTGAAATGCTAGCACCCATCTGTTTGAGATGAAATAGAGTCCCAGTTGTTAAACTTAGTGTTCCCCCAAATAGTGTACTTCACATCACTCTCAGCATCACACCAACCCATGGGTTTTAAATTCATGTTACTGTCTCCTGCTCAGAGAGAGTCCTGGTATTTATTATCTGCTACCCTAAAATTACAAAATTCTATTCCAATTAGTAATCCTAATTTGAGGAGGTGCCCTCTCTTTGTTCATTTGAAAGTCATTGACAGTTCTACAATATTCACAACAAATTTGAGGCAAATTCTATTTCGAATATTTATGTCATACACATAAAATAAGTCATGGTTCATAAAGCTTCAAATTATTCCTCTTCAAAAGTGATCATTATCTACATGTGTCATTGAAGATTTATGTATTCTTTAAGAATATTCATTATGGTAGGATGGAAGTTCAATGCCTAAATATTTATTTTGAAAAATTCTACTCATATGATTGAGAAAACAGAAATTTGAAATCACACTGCCTGAGTGTGAATCCTGGCTGCTTTATTCATTAGCTCTGAGGACTTAGACAAGTTTCTTAACCTGTGTGCTTGTCTGTAAACAAGGCACATAAATAAATGTGTAAGCACTTTGAATGGTGCTTGGCATATAGTAGTAAGTTTATATTCATCATTTCTATCTTCAACATATCTTCTAACTATATCTCACCACCCTACTGCTACTCTGCTAGTCCAAGTCACCCTCCACTCAGGCCCATGTTATTGCAATAACTAGTCTCCTTGCTTTGATCCCTGCTCACTGGGTACCTATCTCCATGCCGCTATTATAGCAATCCTAGAAAAATGCAAATGGACTCAAGCCATCTGCTCAAAAACCTCCAACAGCTGGCTGCCAGTGGCTTATGGCTATAAACCTAGCTACTCAGAGGCAGAGATCAGGATGATGGCTATTTGAAGCCAATCCAGGCAAATAGTTCATAAGACCCTATCTTGAAAATACCCAACACAAAAAAGAATTAGCTGAGTGCCTCAAGTGGTAGAGTGCCATCCTAGCAAGTGTGAAGCACTGAGTTGAAACCCCATTACTACCAAAAAAAAAAAAAAAAGAAAAAAGAAAAGAGAACTCAAGCAACCCCCAGTTCACTAAGAATAAAAATCATAGGCTTTATAAACGTCATGGTTCTCATCACAGCCCTGACTCCATACATCTCTGCCCTCACCTCCCACTATATTCAGATTTCTCCAGTGAAGTGGGACTCTTTGTGTTCCTCAAACACTCATGACATCCTCCTTTTACAATGTGCCATTTGGTTCTTTCCTCTACATCTGTGGCATTACCACAGTCACTGGCATGGCAAGCTCCCTGTTTTCCAGACCAGACTCAAATATCACTCTTTTGGTGGAATCTGACCCATTCATCTCATCTAAAACTTAATACCCCAATATTGCTGCACTTTGGTTTTTTTTGTCATTAAAATGTTTTTGCCATTTAATGTATCATATTTTTACCTAGAATATTTCCTTTCCCTATCTCCCTAAAGTTTCTAAATTCCCCAAGAGCAGGGATTTTGTCTGCATTATTAATTGCTATATTCTTGGGATCTATACAATACATTACAAGACAATATAGCACAACACAATACAATTTGAAATAATTGTATATACATATATTATAGAAAGAATAAAGGGTTAGATGAATAAATAAATACATGAATAAACGAATGAATAACTTGATAAAAACAACAGTAATATTACTGAGACATTCTGCAAGGAAGGCATTAAGTTTTTGTGGCCTCTATTTTGATAGATGGTGTTAGTCTAAATTTATTGTAAAAGTAATCCTTAAGGCAATAATTCTCTCATGTAAGACTTTATTTTTAAATAGAAGGAGCTCAGTTATGAAAAATTGATTTCTGCTCTTACTTACAGAAAAATTCCAATTAATAATTGCACAAGGAATAAGGGAAATAGAAAACCACTATTAGAAGAACAGAATGATAATTAATGTGGGCAATATCTATTCCTGGATATTAAAGTGAATGGGCCAAAAAGTTTGAGGAGAAGCAGGATGTTTTCATAGTCTTGAAAATAACTATGACAACAGTCCTAGTATCATCACCTATCACATTTATTAATTATAGTGGGGATATAGTGATTATACAGTGGAGAAAGCCAGTAACCACCACCTTTGCCAAATGATGAAGGTTAACGTCACCACTAAAACAAACATCATGTGTTCCCTGACATTTCATACTGAGAAAGGAACTATAGTATTCCTTTAAACAATCCATAATATTCTGAAAAAAAATTAGGTGATACCAATTTAGGGACATTCTACTAAATACTTAATGAATTTTCTTCCAAAATATCAAGATCATGAAAAAAAGGAAGAATGGAGAAACTGTCAGAGATTGGAAAAGACTACAAAGAACTCAAACTCCATGTAATGAAGGATATTAGACTGGATCCTGCAACAGTAAAGAACATATGTTTAAAAATATATAAAATAATTAATAGTTCATATCAATGTTTATTTCTTAGTTTTAATAAATGTATTATGGTTGTATAAGATGTTAACATTAGAGTAAGCTCAGTGAGGTGTATATGGGAAAACTTTGTACTTTCTTTGCAATTTTTCTGTAACTCTAAAACTCTTTCAAACTTAAAAAAGGAATGTGAGAGATACATTTTGGGGCGATAGAAGGAAAAGCTTCTGAGGAAGACTTGCATTGCTGGTCTGACACTAATGTCTGTGCGACCTCATATGTCCTCATTAGCTGGTAAAGCCTGGCTTGTATTTGTGGATGATAAGAAAATGGATAAATAATATGATACATACAAAATTCAAGACTTACATAAGGAATTATGGGAGTCTGTCGGAGGGGAAAGGCAAAAGAGCCCCAAGAAATGTAAACACTGATTTTAGGCCAAGGAATACATCAGGGTTTCTCAGTCGTGATACTATTATGTTGGGCTTTGTAATTCTCTGTTATGAGCATTATGCAATATTTAGAAGAAGAAGACTTTGACATAGAGATGCCAATAGCACATCTTGTCTCCTAGTTGTGACAAAACTAAAATGTCTCCAGATATTTTCAAATATTAATAAATGAGACAAAAATTCTCTCTTGGAACTGAGAAAGTGTATTCCAGGCAGGCGAAAAATAAGAAAAAAGGCATATGATAGAAAACAGCACTGATCTTTTCATTTTTGTTTACTATCACTTGTATACCCAAGCTGCAAGGAAATAAGAGAAGGGTATTGTTAGGCAGAAGCCATTCTCAGAGAACCTTTATTACTTAACTGTGCTAAGTAGTCTCAGTTTTCCCCACCAGACCCTTCCTTTGCTGTTGTTCCCAGGAGGCTGACTTTTATGGGTGGCATCACAGAGACTCTACTGCCCTTGCACTAGCTTGGCTTAGACCAATGGGAGGCAGTGGCAAGAGATTGGTGGATGGAAGGGGAGAGAATCTGGGTACTTATCTCCACGGCCCCCTCTCTGAAATCTTGTAATTTGGCAAAAGCTACATTTCCCTAAGCTTACAATTCCTTTCCATAGTCATCTCTTCCTTCATTTCAGCTCTCATTAGGTTCTGGATATCTTGTTCCTTCTACATACCTCTCTTAAGACCAGGCATGGGGTAAATGTTAAGATATTGCTAGTGGCTGGGTGACTCACAGCCTTTTGTGTGTGTGTGTGACTTTCAGCCTGCTCAAATATCTGTGTAGTTCTTTCATTAGTTTCTCTTCATTTTGCCCTTTTTGAGTATGGTATTTGTTTTCTGCTGGAAGGCTAAGGCACAGCAAATATTGAAGCCTTTATCTTAGAGTGGATGGGAAGCTATTCAAGATTTTAAACACAAGAATAACAAGATTACTTCATTATCTTATATTTTTCTTCTGATAACAGGAGAACAGGGCAAGATGGATTTCACAGGCAAAATATTTGCTTCAATAATGTCAGTGAAGAGGATTTAGCAATAATCCAGGAAAAAGAACTAATGATCTGACCAGAATAAAGGTAGTAAGTATATAGTGAAGATAACAGACTTGAGGAATATTCAAGGGGTTAAGTGCTTTAGTAGTAGCTTTGACAGAATGTAGCTCACAAAAAAAAGGAAGGACTCAAAGATGAAGGCCAGATTGTGATCTTAGGAGATGACAGAGTAGCTTATCATGCTTATAACCAACAGAACAGAAGTTCTGTAGATCTCATAAAGCAAGAACAGAAACAAATTTGCTGGAGAATACAATGAGCCAACAATGAATTAGCTTAGTTTGAGGTGTCTATAGGACATCTAAGGGAAAGTGCTCAAACAAATGCAAAGCTGAAACCTAGGACAAACTTTAGATGTAGGTTTGAGAATCCTCAACTACAAATGGTAGATGAAATGTGAGAGTGGTGTTAGAGAACATGGCCATTTAAAGAAAGGGAAAACATAGAAGGGCTAGATTATCTCAACCAGCAAAAACCCTTGTTCCTTCCTATTATTGCTTATACTGTCTCTACAACAAAATTAGAAATAAGGGCAAAATAGTTTCTGCTGGGTATTGAGGGGGGGGAGAGGGAGGGGGCAGAGTGGGTGGTAAGGGAGGGGGTGGGGGCAGGGGGGAGAAATGAACCAAGCCTTGTATGCACATATGAATAATAAAAGAATAAGGAAAAAAAAATAAAATTAGTGATAAGGGCAGAACAGGACCTGCCTAGAAATGAGGGGGAAAGGGGCGGGGGGGGGAGACAGAAATGACCCAAACAATGTATGCACATGTGAATAAATGAATAAAAATTTTTAAATGCTTAAAAAAAAAAAAAAAAAGAAGGGCTAGATTATAGCTCAGAGAGCAATTATCTAGGATGCAAGAGACCCTGGATTTGATTCCCCAGTGCCAAACAAATAAACAAAAACAGATAAGGAATGGCCAAAGATGTACAAAGAGACCCAAATGTGTGTGCTCAGCCCAAAAGTGAAGAGAATGAAGAGGTAGCAAAAGGAAGATGGTCATTACAGAAACACTGAGTAATCAGGTTAGGCTACTACAACTCCAAATAGGAACTGAAAGGTAACATGGTTTTGGCACTTTTCTCATAGACTTAAAGGTATCAACACTATATAAATTATCTAGCATAGTGATCAACACATTGTAGACATTGGATAATTTTTACATTAACTTTTCTAAAAGCATTTACAAAAGTTCACATAATAAAAACAGTGACTACTGAATGCCAGTTTTTAAAGTTAATAAATCTGAGGAAATCAGAACAATGATGTAAAAATAAAGACATCGCTACTTTGAATGAGGAAATGGCCAGAGTAAGGCATACTCCATATGTATGGAATTCTAGATAAAGCTGGAGTCCTATTGAGTAAAACAAAAGTATTGACAGCAGCTGAAGCTGGTAGAGATCCTATCAAATCCTCACCATTTTATGGTGAAGTGTATAGGCTAGTGCTATGGTTTGAATCCTAACTCTGCTCCCAAAGCTCATACACTAAAGGTTGGTTGCCAGTCTGGGTCTGTGATAGAATCTTTAGGATTGTGGCCTAGTTGGAGCAAGTTAGGTCATTGACGGCCTGCCCTTAAAGGAAATATTGAAATACTGGCCCTTTGCCGTCTTCTCTTTGGTCTCTGGCTGCCATGAGCTGAATAGATTCCTCTGGCACACACTCACCGCCATGATATTCTGCCTTGCCCAAAGGCAACAGGGCTAAGTGACCATGGTCTTGAAACTCTGAAACTGTAAGTCAAAATAAATCTTTTCTCCTTATAAGGATTTTCTCTGGTATTTTGTTACAGTGACTGAAAGCAGACTAACATTCATGGTCAGCTGGAAACTTTTTCAAAGAGATAACAGCTTTAATTTTTCAAGACTTTACAAAGCATTATGGACCATGAAGTGCCACTGTTAATATCTGATAAAATCTATGCAAATTGTGAGAATGCTTACCTTTTGATGTAAACTTAGCTGGCATATGTCCTCTGTGGATAAGCAGGGTTTCCCATCAGCTTTCCTAGAAGGCAGGCAAATAAGCAGATCCCAAGACTCCAAATCTCCTAATAGCAAAAAAGTATTAAAGAACAATTTCCATCAAATATTTTAAGGATAGCATTTATTCCTTAGATTATAGGATATGATTATTGAAATCCTAAAACACAAGTAACAATGTTTTAAGAAACAAACAATATTCAAAGTAACCAAAATTCAACTTTTTCTAATTTAACAAGCTTAACATTTTAAATTTAATACTGTATTTTGGAGAAAATTCAGTTATCTGAAGAGACATTATAAAATTCCTTTAAAAGATTAAAATTAGAATATTTTGTGTTACTAATTTTATAAATATATAAAGTCTTATTTGGAGAGTGAAAGGAAAAAAGATTATAAAGTCTTTAAAGACAGGAGAAGGTTGTGAAATCAAATGATTAAAAGATGAAATAACAAATATTTTATTTTGGGCTCAAATGCTATCACTATTTTTATAGATCTAAACATTAAAATATACTTTTATAAGACTTCTTACAAAAATGAAGGAAGTTAAAAGTGAATACGGTTGATGTACTTCCTATACAAGAATAAATATGAAATTTTTAAACCTGTCAAAATCACCATAACAGGGGACTAAGTTAGAAAGGAGAAAAATAGAAGGGATGAACCAATTTGTGTAATAATTCATACATACATGGAAATGTCAAAATGAAACACTCTGTGTAGCTATCTTAAACAAACAAAAATGCCATTTCTTTTTTTTTTTTTATTACAAAAACAGAGAACAAGAAGGCAAAACGGGTCCTGTCTGGGGGGGTGGAGATCAATGCGGGGTGGGGGGTGAGATATAAGGAAAGGGGGTCAGAGGATGAGTATGGTGGAAGTATTCTGTACACATGTATGTACAGGTTTTGTTCTGTTTTATTTTCATACAAGCATATGGAGTACATCAACCATATTTGCAGTCCTTCAGCCTCTCCATTCACCCTCCACTCCTCTGTAGTGCCCTCTCCCTAACAGGACTTACTTTACATTTCTGTTCTTTTTTTGTTTTTTAAATGTATATTCTCTAATCCTTTATTTTAAATGTGCAGATGACTTTTTCAATCAAAACCTTTTGATTTGGGTTCAAATGGAAACGCAAAGACTGGTTTTATTCTACATCATTTCTAGCTCAGGAAATATTAAAACCCTAGAAGAAACCTCTTGTCATAAGATTCCCAACTAAATATTTTAAGAAGATAAAGATATACAAAGAGAGAGGAATTTCAAATTAAGTTCTGCATTGTTTGGGCCTTAAAAACAGTATACTTTATATTCCTCTAAGGTACTACGGAAGGCACACACAGTAGACAAAAAGAAAAATACACCTAAATCACAAATGTTTAAAACTGGAAGACACATTTAAATAATTCAAACCATTCAATTAATTAAGAACATTCAGTGAGTAGTACATTGTACTACAAATATGAAAGAAAAAAGATGAGACAGCGAATGCCCTCAGCAATCTATTTGAGGATCTAAAACATTAAAAAAGAATTTAGGGAAACATAAAGAATCACATAGTTTCTTGGCATTTATAAGGGTGAACTCTTACCTCCCCAAAATATTCAATTAATATTTTAAGTTAAAATTAATAATAAAAAATACTCTGTAGGCCATAAATTCCTTTCTTTCTTCTTCTTTATTTTTTTTTTTTTTGCAGTTCTGCAGTTTGAACTCAGAGCCTACACCTTAAGCCACTCCACCAGTCCATTTTTGAGGGGTTTTTTGAGATAGGGTCTCTCGAACTATTTGCCTGGGCTGGCTTCAAACTGCAATCCTCCTGATCTCTGCCTCCTAAGTAGCTGGAATTATAGGAATGAACCACTGCATCCAGCTCATAAATTCCTTCTTAAGATGCAATAAAGTACAACTGAAATTTTGAAATGTTTTCATATACTCCTTCCCTAATTCTTGCTATCATAGTCCAAAAACACTAATTGGTTCCTCTCAAAACTTTTATTACCCTCACGGAATTCTATCTCAGCCTCTCAAACCTCTACTTATCAGATAAACATTCAGTAAATCTTTTTCCTTTCTCTACGTTTCTGTCTCAGACATTAGATAGAAGTCAACTCCCTCTTGCAATTCCTATACTTCCTTCTTTTTTTTAAAGAAAAATCTTTGTTTTAAGAGAGATATTATGTACTTAAATTTGGTTTAAAAAAAAGCCATGTTGAAATGTAAAAATTGGGCAGAAAACAAAGCACATGTACTAGCTAAGCAAACCATATTCAGAAGTTAGCTTTGGAGCATTTGTGATACAGATTTATACCTCAGCAAACTTATAACTACATCATGGGGCTTTGGAGCACATTCCACTAGCTGAAAGCATGACCAGTTAGCAGGCAAACATCCATGATCCCCAGCAGAGATCAAGCTGGGGGCACACAGGCAAGTCCAACCTTCAAATGGGCTGAATCTGGCCTGCATAATGCTTGTTGTGTTTTTGCATTAAGCATTTGCCAAAATGCAAATATCAACATAATCCACATAAAAACCCAGATTTTTGCTTTCATTTGAAAACTTGGAAGCTCTGGTAACACAGGGTCCATATTCTGCAAGGCAGCAAAAGACTGGATTCAGCTCTGCACATGTTCTCCACCTGGCTGTAACACTGAGGCAGCTTTGCATCTAACAGCAAATGGTCTTAGACATGGTGTAAAATTCTGGTGCATCAGTTTTCCATGAATTGGTCATTTGTAAAATTGATATTTGATGTTTTATCTTTAATGGGTTCATCTGATTTTACTGAGATGACTTCAGGCAAATCGATAACTTGTTCAGTTGGTCATAGATGTCTGAACATACCCTTTGATGTCGAGATTTGGGTATGCTCTTCCACAAGACTGAGGAAGCTCATTTCAACACACACATTTTGTTGGCTGAGTTAAAGTTGACAAGAACTGATGTGTGGCCTCTTAGAATCTTTCTTCCTCTCAGTCTGGAAAAAGTCAAGAGTGGTCCAGTCATTGTCTTTGTTTTGTCTCTTTCTCAGGTGGCCCAAAAGCCACTACTATGTTGGCCGATCTCATCTCTTTTCCTTCCCAATCTCATTCCACATGAGCCTACCTCAGGTCTGCTGCCACAGTGGTAAATGACCTAGGACAGGTTCTTTCTGGGCATTGGGGCAAACATTCTTACTTTGTGTCTTTTTGGTACATTTCTTCTGCCCCTAGAAGGTTGACATTAGAGGGGAAAGAGCTGAGAAATCAAATTTCAGGCCTTGGCCAATTTGGATGGTGGCTCCCTAGATTTTTCTGCCATGAAGAAAGAGATGTCTGTGTGATTTCACCTTGCTCTTAACAATACTTAAGATTTAGGTTCCAAGGCCAAAAAAAAAAGTGGAAGTAGTAGCAATAAGAATATCAACAGCTAATAATTCTTGATTCCTTATAATCTGCTGGGTATCATTCCAAGTATTTATATTAACTCATTCATTCCACACAGTACTCTACTGACTATGATTATTCTGCTTTTAGAGGCTCAGAAAAATAATTTGCGCATAGTCAGCCATCTAGATAATGATGAAAAGAGAATTTGAATGCTGGAATTCTAGGTGTAGAGACCATGTTCTTACTGTCTTTATCCCCTCAAAACAGGGAGGCAACAGACAAAGGTAGCTGTTGATCCCTTACATCTATTGATTTATGCAATACTTCCAACAACCCTGTGGAGTAGAAACAATGATTCCATGCATTTTACCAGTGAGGAAATTGAAATATAGGACGCACCTATATGTGACCTTTTTCATTTACTGCCTTGTATATTTATTTTCCTTTTAAAATTTGGAGGAAAGAATGACTGAGCAGTTATCACTCGGGTATTTCTAGACCCTCTCTCAACAATAATACCTCTTTATGTTACTAGAAATAGTGCTGGTAATTGCAGTTAAATCTTCATATGTAAAAGGAACAAGTACTCAACTGTACATGTACTCATAAATTATAAATATTAGGTTGGCATCCATCTATTTTTGAAAAGAAATCCCTAAAAGTAGAGCTTTTAGGTAGTTAATCTTATTTCTTTCCTTATCAAAAAGAAACTAGAGCTCTGTGATTAGATTAACCAAGGTCTTAAATAGAGAGGTCACAGGACATAATTCTAGGGAAAAACAGGATGTGAATATCCTATTCTCAAAATTATCAAAACAGGAACCACCCCCAAATACATAATAAACTGCTGATAACACCAATCACTGTCCTGCCTTCATCATGCCTGCTCTAGAAATGATGAAGACTCCACAGACAATTTTAGAAGGAGGTATAAGCATTCAGATTTATTAATTGAGGTATAAAATGGCACTTACTAGAGTTTATATCCTTCTCTAAGTGTTCTCAGAAACCAGCTAACATCTCAGTGTTAAAAGTAAGCACTATTTTTTAAAGGTTTTTGTTTTCTTTTATATTTTTAAATCAAGTTTCTGACTAAAGGAGTAAACCTACCCTTAGAATATTTCCAGTCTCCCCCAGGCAGGCTGCCATGTAAAGCAAACAATTGCTTCCTGGCTCACAAATGACCTCCCTTCTTGGTAAGGACTGCAGGATTAGTAATTTAATCCAGAGAACAGAGAACTCTGAGATAGCCACATTCATGTTAGCATCATCCACAAAAATGCTATTTATTCTCAAGGAGTGAGAACTTGGGCACACTGTGTAAAATCCAGAATAGTTTTATTCTCCAAAGCATTTTACAACCATCTGACATATGTATTTCTCTTATATTTGTTTATTATCTGTCTCCCCCATTTGAATGTGATCTCCATGAGAGGTATTTTGTTCAGTGTTAGTCTTGATATTACAATAATGGCTGTAACATAAGAAGCATTTGTTACTAAGTAGTCATTAAATGCATAAAAGCAAATAATGGAATGTGAACAACAGGCAAATAATTAGAAATCACTTAAAAGCCACACTGTTTCCTAGGTTTGATTCCCAGCACCACAAAAAAGCTAGTCTTTAGAAATGCTATTGTAATAATTTTTTTAAATGGAAGAACACAAACACTAGTCTTTTAAAAAGGACAT